ACTCGCCACACTGGGAGAATGTTGCAAAAGAAGTGTAGAGTGAACATCATCAGCCGGCATCATGATGTGTCAAAGCTAGCCTGAAACAAAACCAAGTGGGATAGCAAACTTAAAGCTCAACTCCAGTCGAAAATATTTGCCTACCATCCCTCACTCCCAATCCCCTATAACCTATCCTGCTAGATGTTTGCTGGTGAAACAAATTATACATTTATATACTCAGCAAAATTTACTACTCCCCCCATCCTCGTCCCTAGCTGATGCAGTTTTCACCAGCAGGGACCACTCGCGAATCCAACACTGCACATCACCCCTTGATGGGTAGTCCATCTGACTCCCCTCAGACTGAAGTCAGTAGTCATTTGGATCTTGAGGACCCTTCCAAAAGGGCAGACAAATGGGAATTGTCCGCATTACACAGGCAGTGATGTGGAAACCGGCAGGAAGGAGTCCAGCAGGAAGTAAACACAGAGGACAAGGACCCAGCACTGGATTGTCACATGACCACTACTTAAAGTGACATTAAACCCTCAGATTTTTTAACATAAACCAATACTGTAATGTGCGCCTTACTGTAATCCATGGTTGTTTTCCTTCTCTTTGCTGCTCTTCCTTTTAAATCCTCATCTCTTCTCATGCTGGGGGAGAACTTCCCTTTGCAGCTGAGTGCCTCTTCCTGTAGTGCTGGCACAGGTTGCAAACCTATACACAGAAACCATGTATCCATTCGAGAGACAAGGCAGTCTGCTGAAAAACAGAAGTTCTGCCCAGCATGAGAAGAGATATGGATTTAAAAGGAAGAGCAGCAAAGAGAAGGGAAACAACCATGGATTACAGTAAGGCGCACATTACAGTATTGGTTTATGTTTAAAAAATCTGAGGGTTTAATGTCACTTTAAGGTGACACTAAACTCAGGAGCTAAATCTTAAAAATACATTCAAGTACCTTAATTATTAACAAAAAATGTATCTTATTTGTGTATCACTCGGCTTTAGATCCTCAAATCATCTCTGAATTGGTGCTGACACTGTCCTTCCTTCTGGAGGGGGGCTACTTTTGTTCCCCATGGTCCCTGTGTGTGTTGTAAAGTAGTCACTGCTCCAAGCTCCCTCCCAGGATGGACTAGAATCTCATGTTTAGTTTACTAATTTGTATTGGGATCGTAGTCCATCACAGGAGTGAGCTTGGAGCGGTGACTACTTTACAACACACACAGAGACCATAGGGAACAAAAGTAGCCCCCCTCCAGAAGGAAGGACAGTGTCAGCACCAATTCAGAGATGATTTGAGGATCTACAGCCGAGTGATACACATTTTTGTTCATAGTTAAGGTACCTGAATGTATTTTTTAAGGTTAAATTCCTGATTTGGTGTCACTTTAAAGTATATAGAGGGGGGCTTAGAAATATTTTTTTTCAGCCCAGTGAGGGATGGGAGAGTTTTTATTCTATCGTGGAGTTGGCCTTTAACTATAACGTGGACATTGCATTTGGAGCAGGACAGATTGCTTTGCCTGCTCAGCTCTGTAATTGAAATATATGAAAGTCAGTGCAACGATTTCTAACCTACTTGTACTGCTGAATCTATTTGGCATTTAGAGAACGCAGAACTGTTAATATGGCCCAGTTCAAAGAGAGGTTCCCAGTCTCAGCATCTCTTGGGGCAATTAGTCTATTTATGACCACTCTGGGAAGAAGAACATCTCTGACCTTAGGAACTCATCATTGAGCAAAGATATATTCCAAATTGTTGGAAGGTTGTTCCTCTGCTACAGAGAAGGATCAAAATACATTACTTTGTCATCAGAAGCCAGGCATTGCGGCAGATGGAGCAAGTTCTTCAAAAAGAGGAGATATGTCCCTGTTCACTGAACATGTGGTGGGTAAGTGACCATCAATGGCAGCTTAGAGCCTCATGAGAGCCAGGGAGGGAACCGAAAACATAAAAGGATCCCCCTGATTTCTGTACATTCAGGAGCTCCATGACGCTGGTAACCAGTTTAAAGCAGGGCAAATGTACAACGAGATTTCCAGACTGGTGTATTCCAGTAAATACCCTTCTATTTTATACATTAGAGAAAAGGGACTGCCCCAAATTTGATCTGCAGTCCCACATAGTGTCCAAGGTGGACAGCAGCATCCTCAAAATGGTTTCATGAAGAAAAACCACACTCAGAATTCCATCCCTGTTCAGGACATTGTAGAAGCATGACACCTTACCGACACATTTACAGTCTCAGGTCCTTAAAATAGAATCCTCAAAAAAGCGTTCCAGGTTTAAGTTTTGGACAGAGATACGAAAGGTTAGAACCTCTGTCCGGTACCTATTGATGTGCCCACGCAGGGAAAATTGGCCAAGAGAGGACAGGAAGCTAGAGGAAACCTGAACATTTGAGACACAGGAGTCCTTCAGTTACTCTCGCCTACAGGTCCAGTGACCACGGTCTATGAAGGGATTTCGTGTCACCTTATTGCGCTGTTGCCACTGCAACAGGAAGTGAGGGAAAAAACTTCCCAATGAGGACACGGCAAGAAGAAGACGACAGAGGTTCTAACCTTTCCATGACTTAAAGCTTTAAAGATTCTGGTTGGAGTTTTACTTTGAGAACGTGAGGAGCTATGGCTGTAACTCTGGTGACAATACAATAAACCCTTGAGAGCAGGAAAGTTCTGAATTCTGGTTTGTTTGAATGTTTTTGTCTGGTGGAAAGAAATACAGGACCAGCAGAAAATCTGGCTTAGAAATACAAGTTAAAATAGGGTGTTCTTCCCTCGATGGTCTTTCCTTTGTTAATAAAATACAAGGTCCTCATTAATACTCATGAGCCGCAAGAGCGAGGTCTCTCCACTCATTTAGCTCTGTCCACCTCTACCCCTTCTCAAGTAGGTGATCTGACCCTTTAAACAAAATGCAGATGATCCCTGAGTAATCATGAAACACAAAAGTTCAGTGTATAGGGTGTACAATACCAGTTATTATACAGAAAACATCCACAGTTACAAATCGAGTGTGGAAGAGGCCTCCACTACTGAGATCCACAACAAGCTCAGAGCTCTAAGAGACTATAGAAAACCAGGAAGCCATTCCAGCAACCAAACCATATATATTGTAACAGTCATTAAATGGGGGTATAAGAAGCATTAAACATGAAAGGCTGTGAACATTTGGATCTTTCTGAATAAAAAAATTACAATCAAAATGGTTCAGCTTTTCCAGCACGTTGTCCCACCCATCAAAGTGTTCCGATTATTGTTACAGATTCACACAAGGCATATAGTAGTCCTAAATTTCAGACCTCGTTCTCCCATCCGTGCTTCCAACAAAACATATGTGTACCCCAGTGACATCAGCGAGGCGTCGAGGAAGTTTTGAAGAGCCTCCATCACCTGTGTACAGCTGGATTCCAACTTTGTACACTCTAAAATATAACATACACGTACACATATGAGGTTACCATGAGGCTTGCATATACCAATGCATCAAATCTTCCACATGGACTGCATGGGGTGACCCTGGCATTGCAGCGAACTGTACAAAATAATCATCTAGGCCAAGGGGAGACACCCCGGCCCTCCAGCTGTGGTACATCTACAAATACCATTAGTCTCTGACGACCACACACATGACTCCTAGAAGCAGATGTATGATGGTATTTGTAAAGTTTCACCATAGCTGGAGGGCGGGAGTTTACCTACCACCCCTGGTCTAGACGTACACTAAATGGCCAAAACATTGTGTACATCTGACCATCGCACCTATATGAATTTGTTTGATATCCAATTCCAAAACCATGGGCATTATCACGGCGTTGATCCCCCTTTGCAGCATTAACAGCCTCCACACTTCTGGGAAGGCTTTCCACCAGATTTTGGAGTGTCTGTGGAAATTTATGCCCATTCAGCCAAAAGGGCATTTGTGAGGTCAGGTACTTGATGTTTGAGGAGAAAATCTGTCTGGCAACTAGTGTTCCAATTCATCCCAAAGATGTTGGGAAGGGTTTAAAATAAGGCTTTGTGCTGGCCACTCGAGTTCCACAAACCTTTAGCCATATAATGTATTACTGATATAGTTTATAGAGGTGTACACACCATTCAACCCCTGGAAAGAATTAAGATCCATGCATCAGCATCATCTAACCTGAAAATGATATGATGTTTCATCTGCATATCCTTCTATAATGAGTTGTGCTTTTTTAATACCATAAACATATCAACCAAAAGTGACAGGAAGACTCGGGCTTAAAACAGGTGCATGAGAGATGTCATGTTAAGGTGGAGAAGAGGAAAAGGCTGAGGAGTGGTCCGAGGCAAAGAAACTAGAAAAATGTAAAGTGTAAGCTCTTTTGCAGTGGACTGCGCCCTCCATGTCTCTTATCCTCTAATTTTATAAAATACCAGCGGTAGAATGAAGTAACAGCAACGTGACTGAGAAGGTTTTTTTCCACACCAGGAAGAAAAAAGAAAATACATTCTGAAAGTGCTTTTCGTTCTTGCGTTGGGCCTTAAAGTGCATGTGTTCTAAAAATGAAGATGCATCCGCCTAATTGCATCGCCATGGCAACCAAATTCCAACTTTCAGATACCAACTGTTTCAAACTAAAACATACATTCTAGAGAACTGAGAACATATGATTCAAAACAACAACAACAACAAAATTCAGTGTGGAGCAAAGAAAGATTTCAGCTTAGACAAAAAAATGAAGGACACGACAAAATGGGCTCATGGGAATCTCAAATCAAAAGTCAAGCAGCGGGATTCTTGGTGCTTGCTGAGGACAAATTTTGAAACTTTTGTTGCTGTCAATTTGGCCCATGTGGCTGGCATTAGAGAATTTGGCTAAAAATTTTGGCATAAACCACAAAGTGATGAAATAAAACATTCTTATTAGTGGCAAAACAATTCAGAACTGTAAAAGCCAAACTTGAGAAAGAAAAAAAAAAAAAAAAAAAGAAAAAGAAGAAATTGGACAAGTATTACAACGTAAAACAGAGACAGTATGAGCCATAAACCTCCAAATCTTGCGTGGCCGGGCTTATTGATCAAACTTGCTGGAACTTGGGTCAGCAGGTGTCATCCACAAGTTTGGATCCATTAATCCCCCTATAAGTGACTCGCCCGGGTCGGACCAGCACTCCGTGGTTGGGCTTGCAGTGAAAGTATCGTTTCTCTCCGATAGATCCGTCGTTTTTGCCTTTGGCGGAGCGGAGTTCCAGGCCCAGCCAGACGCCAGGGGCGAAATCAGTGGGCCCAATGTACCTGATGACAGCCATTTCATTAGAGCTGGTCAGGAGAACCTGGGAGCCTTTGTGCAACTTCACACCTCCATCACTTGTGCTGGTGGAGCTGGTACTGCTCCAACTACGGCGGAGTGCCGGCTTCTTAGGCCTGGTCAAATGAAAGCACAGCATTGGTTATTTTTTTTTAATCTCCAAAGTGACACGATAAAATCCGAAACAGTCTGCTGATGTCCCTACGTTTACATGAAAACCTAATCACTACAATCTCATATAGGTTTTAATGTCGTTTCAGAAGGCTGAAAAAGGGCAAGAAAAGGAGCGTGTGCTCTCAATATGAGATTCAGAAGAACCTTGTTGATTGTCCAACCAAAAATTATGTTTCAATCTTTGCCACATTCAAGAGAATTAAGCCAAGTTTCTAAGGACTCCAGCCAATATGGTTCCCATTCTTCCCGTTGCATCTTTAAAGTACAAATCTACTTTTAACTAGAGATGCAACAAAAATGGTACTATGGGCAAAAACACCTCCCTCAACCCCGCTGGGCGCCGGCTGCAGGCTGTGGTCTTTGTTCCCACTGGAGCTTTCTATCCTGCTCAGCCTCCTGGCAGCTTTCTCCTCCCTGCTGGGAGCTGGATTGGCTCTGTGTCCCCTCCAATCCCCGCTGCCTCTGCAGACACAGGCAGGGGAGAGCAGCGTTGATTGGAGGGGACACAGAGCCAATCCAGCTGCCGGCTCTCAGCAGGGAGGAGAAAGCTGTCAGGTGGCCAAGCAGGATGGAAACCTCCGGAGGGAGGTGGCGGAGCTTCAGGATCAGTAAATATGTTAAATATTTACTGTTTCTTCACTGTACTGAGCAAACACCAAGTGATCAATACTGATTACTTGGTGTTTATAAATAACCAAGGACATAGTGATTACTATGTCCCCAGTTATAAATGAACAGGAAGTGCTACACATAATTTCCTGTTCATGTATGAATAGGGACATAGTAAATATTTACTCTCTGTTCACTTTATGAATGAACAGGAAGCAGTTAGTAGAGAGGCTTCCTGTCCATTCATGACTAGGTTGATAGTAACTATTGTGAATGAACAGGAAACCTCTGTACTCAGCGCTTCCTGTTCATTGCGTGCTGGGGCTGTAGAAAAGGGGATTTCTATTTTAAAAGGGAAACATCAGGGGTCCCCAATATTTCCCCAAAGCTCCTAACAGTAAAGCAAAAAAATAAATAATTAAAAAACAATTTAATAAGGTTGGGAAAAAAAGTCATTTTCGATTTTGGCCGGACAAAATCTTGAAATTTCGGTTTCGGTCTAAAAATGCCATTTCGGCGCATCCCCACAATTGACTAAAACTTTGCTAACCCATACCCATCATCCCCTCTATACATAACTGCACTAACCGCCACCCCTCCACCTCAGCTGCCCACCCACTTACCTCCGTAGCACGGCTGCAGCCTTCCGAACCCCCCACCCAAGTTAAACTCCCTTTAGTGCTATAAGCACCTGTGCACTGAATCCCCATTGATGAGAATGGGGTCATATATAGAGACTAGATATTTATCTATACAGTTCCATTTAATCAATTGGGATGATGCAGCCATCACTGTGAATTTTGTCAGACAGGGTTCAATGCAGCGGTGCTATGGAGGCAATGATGCGGCTCGTATTGGACAGGCTTAGCGTAGTTTAGCTTGGAGAGGGTTGGGGCAGCAAAAGTTTAGATGACAGTAGATTTTCCCTCTGATTCAATCCAAACCAGGAAAAGTGCTCACTTGATGTCAAATTGGGTACAAACAACGAGAAGGGGGAACGGGAACCACCAAAAACCTAGAAATTATGGCAGAGGGATGCCTTAGAGATATGACAGCCTAGAAATGATGGAGTCCTTTAGAACTATAAGAAGTCAGCTGGCTGTTCAGGTGAGCAGACTCTACCTTTTAGCAGAAATCTCACGCCTGGTTGGACTGATCCTTTAAAGATGCATTCCCGCCATTGTTTTCAAATCACGCAAAAAGACTAAAATGCCACAATTTTTCATTCATCTCCTGGAGCCTCTGGGAAAACCTAGTACTTCTGGGTATGCGGGAGCATGTGATCTCCTCCACTTCCTCCCAGTAGGTAAGGCTTGGGTCTGATCCCCGAACATTGTCACATAACCCTGGGTAAGCTTTGACATGGAACTTACACAAGGATTACACTCAGGGCTGCGGCAGATGATTGGAGCAGGGGTGAAGTGCAATACAAGGTGGCTTTCAAATGGGCTAGTGGCTCAAAGCTTGTCAGAAGCTCGGTAAATATTTGCACACAGTGTACATCTGCTGCCCGCCATAGTAATGCTGCCAGAACAAGAATGAGGGCCTCTTGGACATGCACTGTGGTAACGTTTGCTCCAGCAACGCACAGTAACACATCATTTTGTGTGGTGCATTGCAGTAACATTCATTTAGACTGTCACCCCAACACACAAGTATAATAAGAGATCTGCGCTGCAATGCACCATAATGCAACCAGCATGCCCCCTTGTACTGCAGCGCAACGGATTGTTTTCTTGTGTTGCTTCTCTCTCCCCCTAGCCTGAGCTCTGCTGTATAGGGATTTTTGGAGGATGATGCCAAGTCAAATTCAGGTACTTATACTGCTTGTAATAAAAGCAGAACTCCGGGGGGCGTGGCCAAGCGGCGTGCATGGACGGGCGCTGATCACAGCAGCTCCGGTCCCACTCTCATCCTTACCCTATCCTGAGGGTTCCAGCAACTCGGTCGGCACCCGGGCTCCTTCCGCTCTCCCTCAGGATCCTCCTGGCAGCTACGATGGGGAAAATTGGAGACCAAAGGGACGTATCCGCGGCCGAAAAATTGGCCCGGTTCCAGCGGCAAGATGGCGCCGGACATGCGGCCAATGATTCTGTGTGCCTCACGGATTGCAGGGGACCTCTCCTACACTGGGAATCGGGTCTTCATTTTTCCTGACTTTTCCGCTGAATTACAACACCAACGGTCCTCCTTCCTGGAGGTCAAAAAGCGGCTGCGCCAGGAGGGTGTCGCCTATGCCATGCTTTATCCTGCCATTTGTTTAAAGCGCTGCGGGCGAGAGGCCAACTTCTTGCACTGTTTCTGGGAATGCCCCGTCATAAGAGCCTTTTGGTCGGAAATCACTTCCTTCATGGAGGTCAACCTCGGCTTCCCCAACATTTGCAACCCCTCATTCTGCCTCCTGGGTCTCTTTGGGGAGCTAGCACTGGCCTCCCGTTCTCAGACACTTATCCGCCTCCTGTTATTTTATGCCAGGAAAACCATTCTCCTAGTCTGGGGTAGCCAGACGGCCCCCACCCTGGGCGAATGGAAAAGACTGATCAATCAAGCACTCCCCATTTACAAACTAACATACGAGCAGAGAGGTAACCCGATACGCTTTGGCCGCATATGGGACCCATGGCTGGCCTCCTCAAACACAAATTTGGAAACGGGGTAGTACTACTAACTTTTGGCCCTGAGTCCCCCAGTTCTGGACCTATGAGTCCTAGGTGATACTCTTGGTCGGCTGATATATGTGGCTGAATTGGTTTCTCAATGTTCTGTGATACCTATCTTAGAGCTTTATCACCATGTCTTGAACCTTGAATATTGCATCCACAGCTTGTGTAACTTGTGTAACCTTGTAACCTCGTGACAAACATAGAGAGTGTACTGATGTGTAAATGCCTGGGTTATGTTGACTTAATTGTTGTTTGTTGATGGTGTTGTTGTTATCATTGTTGTGTATCTGACACTTGCAAAAATCAATAAAAATTATCTTTAAAAAATAAAATAGAAGCAGAACTCCAGGCAAATCAAATATTAACCGTTGCAGTGGGGCTACTTACGCATTGTGAGAATTAAGTGCTTAGGGAGCTAAAATAACAAAGTTATACTCACCCAAACCACAATACTTGCTCATAGACCGCTCCAGAGGTCTAAGGTCCTGTAAGTCATCATGTTCTATACAGTGTATAGAACATGAGGACAGCGAGGGATATTCCACTGATTTTCTGCCTTAATGTAATACGCATATGTGCATGCAGTATCGAAACACTAGGGATACAAAAAATCTGAAGGGGGCTTAAATTGCAAGTGTGGTATAAATGTCAATTTTCAAAGTACCAAATCCATCAGAACCCCAAATTCATCATTGATCAGAACAACCCTCATGACATGAGTGAGAGATGACTGCTGCCTGGTTGCTCTTGCTTTCTGCACCTCTCTCTTTTGCCTATTTCATAGATTCCACGGTTTTGCTAAGACAGATCAGTCTACATGTCAGCGGTGAAGTGCAGCCTCATCGTTTGTTGGAATTCAAAGTCTTCTTCATAGAGGCACTCGGCATTCACAGGACCCGCTTATTAAAAACTTTTAAAAAAAGAATATGCTGCCGGTACACATTTACATCCTCAAAAAATAGCTCCGTCTTTGTAGTTCTTATTACTTGACAACTGTTAAAAAGCCCAAAGTGAAAAAAAAAATAAAATTAAAAAAAAGTCTTCACTTAGAAGCAGATGAAACGCACTTTGAATAGAGGAGCGGAGAGGCTTCATTGATGTGAAACTGTGACTCTCGATCGGAAAAGTGGCAGCGTTCCATTGTGAGCATTGTAAAAGCTCTTTCACCGGCGGAATTTTCTTCCAGGGCGAGCTATGCCCTCCCGTGTTCATTAACGCTCCTGAAAGGACCCGTGCCGCTAAGAGCATTGAACAATTTCCGAAGCGTAATCATTAAATGTGCATCCTGCTGTGCTGCATTGGCGCGGGGAGAGAAGTGCCGGTGACATTTGGGGCCATGAAGAAATCAGAAGGGCACAGGCAGTTTAATGGAATGGTGACCTGTTTCTTACGGGTACTTTAATGGAACTGGTGGCAATTTTAGAAGGTACAGGTACTTTAATGGAACTGGTAACAGGTTTTAAAGGTACAGGTACCCTAATGGGAACGGTGCCATGTTTTGTGGGTACAGGTACCCTAATGGGACCGGTGACATGTTTTTTGGGTACAGGTACCTTAAATGGGACCGGTGACATGTTTTAAGGGTACAGGTACCTTAACGGGACCGGTGACATGTTTTGTGGGTACAGGTACCTTAACGGGACCGGTGACATGTTTTGTGGGTACAGGTACCCTAATGGGACCGGTGACATGTTTTGTGGGTACAGGTACCTTAATGGGACCGGTGACCTGTTTTGAAGGTACAGGCACCCTAATGGGACCGGTCACATGTTTTGTACAGGTACCTTAATGGGACCGGTGACATGGTCTGAAGGTACAGGTACTTAAATGGGATAAATTACGTGTTTTGTAGGTACAGGTGCTTTGATGGGACCTGGACATCTAACCAGGTGATCCAGACAAGGGGCCGTGTTCTCTGCGGCTTGTTGTTACAATACCCTCACTAAACATACATGGGGTGGGGGGAACTGCAATAAAAGGAAATAGAGCCCCGAGATGGGTGGGCTGCAATAATTGGGTCAGTGCAATTCTATAATAATAAAAAAATAGTCCTGGTCATCGAGATTACATTTTTTCTGTCCATTTCCAAGTCGGTCAGGCAGCCGGTGCGGTCACCTCTAAACAATGCACCAGACATGAAGGGAAGAGGCAGCTGAGCCCTCTTGTAAGAACAACAAGGAGTCACAAAGCTTTCAAGCCCCTTTCATTACAACCCTTCAACACAGAAGAGCGTGCCGCAAGGTTTCAAAGTGTTCTCTTCATACAGAATGATTAGAAATCCTGCTTTATGAATTGCGTGTGGAACATGACAAAGCCGCAGGGACAGAGCTGTCGGCTGCAGAATATAAAAGGTGCATGAACGCTGACCAGGACAGCACAGGCAATAACAGGGCTCTATGGTGACAGCGAAGTCCTTCAGCAAAGGTCACAAACCTTGGAACAAAGATTAGAAACAAAATGTCTGGAACTGATGCAATGGATTCCACCTCGAGGTATCTGCACAGTGCTAACCCGCCCAATCACCAACTTAAAAAACTGAAGGTAAAAGCAGAGAAAAATTAATCTTTTAAATGCTTCCTTGCAGCTTTTTTTTTATTCCCAAGAACTATTTTTTATTCACTTGCTCCTCCGAACTCGCTAGAATGTTTAACTACTGCGGGAAGGCACAGGCCTCTCCTCCTTTGCATGTCATAGCTCTCCGCTCTTCTGGAAGTGTCCAATTACTGTCTGTGCTGGCCCAGTTCCTCCGCCCCTCCCTACAATGCCTTTTATGCAGCTGCCAGGGGTCATACTATAGAGCAGGGTAGGCAAAATCCGGCTATCCAGCTGTGCTGCAACTACAAATCTCAACTTGCACCAGCCTCCTGGAATCATGCCTATGGCTGTCATAGTCTTGGAATGCCCAATGGGAGTTGTAGTTGCACCACAGCTGGAGAGCCAGAGTTTGGCTATCCTAGCTATAGAGTGTAACTTGAGTGACAGATCTGAGTCTGCTGGGGCTGCTGACATCACACCTAAGAGCTAAGCATAGCAGCAATCTCAGGGCTTTGAATGTCTACAAAACAGCGGCTTTCACACGTAAATAACATGCCTAAAATAAATAAATTGACATTTAGTATAATCTTATGGGATGATATTGGTTTCAGGATGAAGGGAGAAATTTGTTTTAGAATAAAGCCTTTTTCGGGGGGGGAAAAAAAAAATACTTTAGGGCTGAAAATGAGGAAACAACCTTTTCACGGCAAGTCTGTAACACACTGAAAAGTAAGTCCAGCCAAAGCCTTTTTCTTAGCTCTGTATAGAGTAAGGAAGGATTAGAACCCAGTGAGGTATTTACTGCTATCTGGCGCTCCGTTACAGAATTTCCCCCCCTTTCCTGTCCTGCTGACAACAGTTTTGCCAAACAGGAAGTGAGAGAAAATCTACAGCAGCAAACACAGACATGCTTTTTTTTTTTTACTACATTTGAGTTAGGATTCTTTTAATTTTACTTCTTTTTTTTATTACTTTTGATTTCTTCTCTTTTTCCTGTTGCATATCTCCCCTAACTCCCTGTCTGATGAAACTGTTGTCTCCAGTAGGGATGTCCAGATACCAGTGCTGATACTTGCCATTTCATGAGAACTACCAGGGTTGCAGCGGTTGCAGCTGGGACCCGGCTCTGGCGCTCCACCACTGCCCTGAAATCATTCGTCTGTATTGTTTTAGAAAAACTGTCACATGACACTAAACAAAAATGTATCCATACTTGTGTCTGTGAGGACTTGCACAAGTATCAGTACTCGTACTTGCAAAAATGGTATCTGTGCATCAATATATATATATATATTTTTATAAAAACAAAATCATACTTTAACCACCTGCTGTCCGGCCATTGTAATTAACGGCCGGAGAGCGGCTTCTTGAGAGCGGGTGGGCGTCTTTAGACGCCCCGTCCGCCGACAGGCGGCGCGCACAAGCTGGAAATCGGTTTTGAATGTAAACAGCCAGCGATGGCTGTTTACATACAAGCGTTCGGGCATCTGTAGAGACGCCCGATCGCTTGTAATATCCGGTCGGGTGTGCGCCCCCCTCCACCGCAGCTGGCGATCCCGGGCTCCGCTGTTCCCGGTATGAGCCCGGGACCGGCACAGCCGCTCTGCGTCCGGAGATCAAACGGAGCTCAGTACACGAGCTCCGTTTGATCTCCTCCTCCTCTTCAAAATGCAGGCAGTGATGTGTATTACATCACTGCCTGCATTCAGTGTCACTCTCCGGTATAGAAACCGGAGAGAAGCTGGTAAAGCAGGTCTCTGCTTCACCAGCTTCTCTGGGGGTCCCAAGGTGACATTAGGGATCTTAAAGACCCCTGATGTCTCCATAAAGAGGACCTGTCACTGCAAATTGGCTATAACATAGGGAGCTTGTTTGCTCCCTATGTGATAGCAATAAAGTTCAGTGAAAAAAAAAAGGTTTAAAAAAATTACAAAAAGTAAAAAAAATAATTAAGTCACATATCAAAGCAATAAAAAAATACAAATTAAAGTCCCCCGGGGTAATTATAAATGTTTTATAACATAACGTAGGGAGAACAGGTTTTTTTTCAAAATGTTCGGTACTTTTTTCATTATATAGTATAAAAAAAAAACCCGTAGTGGTGATTAAATACCACCAAAAGAAAACTCGATCTGTCCCCAAAAAATGGTATAAAATTCATTTCAGTACAGCATTGCTGACGGAATAAACATCAGTCAAAGTACCGCAGCGCTGAACACTGAAAAATGGCCTGGCCAGGAAGGGGGTGAAACACCCCGTTCAGCAAGTGGCTAAAACCGAGATGTACAAATCCCGGGAGCCCCGTATGCTCCTTACAAATGACAGCTGCCTCCTAACTTTTGAATTTTTATCTAGTCTAGTCTTGGAGCTGGAAAAGTATCTGTACTTGTACCGAGTATGGTACTTGGTATTGGTGCATCCCTAATCTCCAGGATAGGAAGTGAGAGGGAATTCTCTAAAGGAGCCCCGTGAAATAAAAAATGGATTCTAACCCTTTACCGTTCTTTTTGAAAAAAAAAGGTAAAATATTTTGGCTGGACATACACTTGAAGACAGCATTGTGATATTCCAGAAGTATTGGCTGAGATAAGTAAGGAGGTCAGACAGACACTTTCATCTGTTGTTGTGATAAATACCTGCCAAACGAGTGTCTCCGGCTGACGTCTTTCTGTGAAGTGCACGTAGATGTAGAACTGAGGCTTCTTTTAAACCCTGAAAATAATTAGGGAAAATACAATTATTACAGATCCCAAATTACTGATCTTCAGTGTTCACATGTTAACGGCCACATACATATAAGAGAGATGTTTTTCGCCGATTCTTCCACCTATGACGTCTTCTTACTTCAACCATTGGGTGGCCACTGATGATGCAACTCCCATGCAAGCATTGTCCCAGCACCCCCCTCCCACTCTCTGCAGCTAACAGATCCTGAGAGTTTGCACTGCACTGTGCATATACCGCACATACACACCGCACAGAAAATCCTAGTAGACCGTTACATTTTTTGCGGCAAAAAAGATTCCTCTACCAAAAAACTATCAGCAATCTACTTTTTCCATTCCACTAGAATTTAAAAAAAATGCTACTTTAGTCTAAAATCCCAGGAATACAATGTAAAGCAAACTGAAACCAGAACTTGCATGATCCCTTATTGAAACCTCCCCTGTCTGCCACCTGCATGTTCCATAGTCAGCTATGACATGGTAATCATAAGTAAGCTGGAGGCTTCACTGGAAAAAGAAAATCCTTTAGGCCCCATTCACACCCGGGCGGTTGCGGGTCACATTAGCGGAGGCTGCAAAATTTGGCCTGGTCATCTAGACATCAATCACCTCTGGTCATACCATGGTTAATTAGATTTCTATTGATCAGAACACCTTAACATCTATATTAGGGATGCACCGATACCGGTATTTCGGTATTGAGTAAGAGCACCGATATTCTTTTTCGGTACTCGCCGATACCAAATACTGAAAGTCCCATTAAGGTAGCCAGGTGGCGCATGATAACTTGCCACCTGACTTCCTGATTAGCCGTGAAGCCAGATGACGTGTAAAGACTCGCCACCCTGATTAGCAGGGAAGCCGCCCCCATCCTTCTCGTCACTAGGTGATGAGGAAGCATGGAGCCGGCTTTCTGGCTAATCAGGAAGCCGGGCTCTGTGTAATGACGCGGCGCCCGGCTTTCTGATTGGCCAGGAAGCCGGCTCCATGCTCCCTTCTCATGGGGCGACGAGGGAGCATGAAGCCGGCTTTCTGGCCAATCAGAAAGCTGGGCTCCACGTCATTACACGGCCGCCCGGCTTCCTGGTTGGCCAGCTTCCCGACCAATCAGGAACCCGGGCAGCAAGTCATTACACATGTGACGAGAAAGCATGGAGCCGGCTTCACGCCCAATCAGGAAGTCGGGCAGCGTGTAATGACTAGCTGCCTGATACTGTAAGTATTGAGCTAGGCATCAGAGCATTTGGGCGAGTACGAGTGCTAGCCCAAATACTCGGCATCGATACTAGTATCAGTGCATCCCTAATCTATATCGAAAAGCTGGCCATACACTGTATTATACAATGCTCTATATTACAGACTCCTCTATCAAGGAGGAATCTCCTGCTGTCTTCATTGTAATCTGAAGGCGGCCACTGGCTGCTGTCAGCATACCTGAACAGAGCAGGCAGCTCAATGACTGCCCGCTCAAAGATTTTACGCCCGGCTCCTTTGATCAGCTGATCAAGGGATGCCGGCCGAAAGAGTTTCTACAGTGGCACCCACTGTGCAAACTTCACACTATGTATGGCCACCTTTAGAAAAAAGGAAATATTTATTTCCTTTGAACAACAACTTTGCTTAGACAAGAGCTTCTTGTTACCAATTAAACAAATTTCTATGCAAGTCACGAGCGAAGTTACATGACAGGGCGTTCTCAGAGTCCCAGTGTCATTGTAGCACTGCCTGATACCGCACTAAACAAATTTTATTTCCCCCCCACTGTGTGCAATAAAACAATTCCCTCCATTATGATTCGGATAATCCCCAACTTTCCGTCCCATAGATTTTCTTGCATCTCTTAATCTTCCCATTGGGGGGGAGTCAGGAAATCTCATTGTGCTGACGGAGCAAATTCTGAGCCTTTTCTTAATTAACTAGCAATGTAGTACGAGATTGCCAGGAAGTGCCGGACGCACATGGCGGAGCCGACTCAATGACAGGAGAGCTCTCCCTCGCCTTTCAAACCTCCAAACCAATTTACAGAAACTACGATGTGTACTAAGTGTCGCCATTAGAAGTAATTGCTACACATTTGCAGGCTGCAGTCCAACAAAAGGAGTACGTGCGAGACGCCGGGCCGAGGAGAAAAGTACGGTGAGCGTCAGAGATGTTATAGGAAATCTTTATGCCAACTTGTATAGTTGTATGGAGCGTTCAGGTTACCTATTTTAAAATGAGTTGGAAAAACTTCTATTATACTGCAGAGAACGTTTCTTTGCACACAGCACCTCTCACAGCTCATGCAGCACTGGCAAGTGTCCTACTAAGGATACATCACACTGGGGGGTACTTATTTCAACAGAATAAATATAAAAACAGCAATGCAGGTTTTGAGGTGTCGTATTTTTTCTGTCCGAAAGTGACCCCCACACCCTCTTAAAAAACCGCCATTGTTGATTAAATGTATTGTGGGAAACCAATAGACTATCAATGGCCAGGTTCTTCTTTCTTGTTCTCTGTGCTGGCCCACTGATGACATCTGCGCCAGATCTCACCTTTCCTCCGAGCTGTTCAACCGAGATATTGTGAAATCTTGCATGATCTAACAGTTTACACTCGAGATCTCCCTGGAAGGCACTGGTAATGTAGCCTTGCCAGGGGGCATCTGGAAAACACTGGTCATGTAGCCTTGCCAGGGGGCATCTGGAAGGCACTGGTCATGTAGCCTTGCCAGGGGGCATCTGGAAGGCACTGGTCATGTAGCCTCGCCAGGGGGCATCTGGAAGGCACTGGTCATGTAGCCTCGCCAGGGGGCATCTGGAAGGCACTGGTCATGTAGCCTCGCCAGGGGGCATTTGGAAGCCACGGGTCACGTAGCCTCGCCAAGGGCATCTGAAAGACACTGGTCACGTAGCCTTTGCAGGTGGCATCTGAAAGGCACTGGTCACGTAGCCTTTGCAGGTGGCATCTGAAAGGCACTGGTCACGTAGCCTTGCCACGGGCATCTGAAAGGCACTGGTCACGTAGCCTTCCCAGGGGGCATCTGAAAGGCACTGGTCACGTAGCCTTCCCAGGGGGCATCTGGGAGGTACTGGCTATGTCACCAGTGCCTAAAAAAACAAGGAAATAGAATATATAAAAAGGTAAGTTCACAAAAAATCCTTTTATTATACATATGTATGTTAGGTGATACAGATCAGAAGTCAGGTCAGTCTGTTAAACGCTGCCATTGTCTCCATTAAAACTTATTACTAAATCAGAAAAAAGTTTTGTGATATCTGTTCTTAAAGTTCTACTCCCTTATACAGCTGGTCCCTGTACGCTGCCTATTGTAACCCTGAATTAAATCTTCAGGCTCAGATATCAGCTCTCTGATGCAATTCTTGCAGTAAATTATGCATTCCAGTGATTTTGTCAGCTTTGCAGTATGTACAGACCGGCAGCCCTGACAGGGGATTTATGCGACTCCGACAAGCAATAACTGAAGGAGCAGTGGCTGAATCACTGGCGGCCAGCAAACAGAGATATGTCATCACTGATAAAGGATGTGGCAGGACTCCGCTTTATAGGGATAAATGATGTAGCTGGTTCAGTGACAGCACCCAGTGTGGATTCTAGAGCTGCAACAGTTATTCGATTAAGTCGGTTAAAATCGACGATGGAAAACGTTGTCAACGTTTTCCATCGTCCATTCGTCGGCTAAAATTCAAATTTCCCGCTCGCCGCTACATTATTACATTATAGTATAATGTACTATTGCTACATTCCTCTATAGCTGCTGGTATTCTGTACTGCGCCGCTGTATAATGTACTATATTGCACACTACACTCTTTTTTTACTTCCACCGCGCCAAGCTTGCTCCCGTGATGGACTACAATCTCAATAGAAACTAGTAGTCCATCACTGGAGCCTTTTTTTTTGTTTTATCCGATTAATCGAACTTAATAATCGGCTAACTAATCGATTATGAAAATAATCGTTAGCTGCAGCCCTAGTGGATTCACAATCACAAAACCAACTGGAAGCACACATTAAAAGATAAGTGATCTTTAGCATTAAGTGCACTTATCCGTTTTGGTCCCTAATCGAAATGACCGTCACTTCCCTACCTGGATGCATACTACCTCAATCCAACAGTTTCTGGAGTTTGTATAGAAAGTGCTCAGCATGCAGGAGATCCCCAGTTGGACTTCTATTGTGCTGTGTCTTGAAGTCAGAGACGCTGAGGAGATTCCACATAAAAGTGGCTTAGTTGTTAGCATTTCTGCCTTGCAGCACAGGGTTTCCCCGCTTTGAATCGGAGTAAAAACACTATCTGCAAGGAGTTTGTTTGTTCTCTGTGGGTTTCCTCCAGGTACTCCGCTTTCCTCCACACTCCAAGACATGCTGGAAGGTTTACTGGCTTCTGTCTAAATTGGCCCCTTATGCATGTCTAATGGGGACCTCAGATTGTAAGCTTGAGGGCGGGGACTGATGTGAATGTGCAACTCTGTAAATTGTCAGTGCTATATAAATATCTCTAATAATAAAATTGTATAGGGTTGTAATGTGCAAGCACAGCCAGCGCACCAAGGACTTCCAGAAAAGGATTTAAACAAATGCCCTGGACCAAGGTAAGTATGCATCTGGGGGGTATGTGCTAGTTTAGATCAGGAAAGGGAAGCAAAAAGGATAAGTTCCCTTAGTTTTAAGGACAGACTTGCCTTCCAAAGCAATCCCCTCCAGCGATGTGATGTCCAGGATCTCCTCCCTTGCCACCACTTCTATCTTCATCCTGGTGTTCCTACAAATTTCTAGTCTTCGCTCGCTTGATTAGCTGGGCCTCAATGATTGAGTTACTTCAACTCAGCATGTTGAGCCAGTGTATGCATGGCTCAGTGTACAGGGGAAACATTGCTGGCAGGCATCTAGATGCTTTTATGGCTTAACCAGTCACTGTCATAAACAAAAGTTGCTGATTGGCATGTTTTCTACCAACTTAACGTCCACTAAATCAGCAAGGAGCATGAGCAGAAAGACCATTGCTTCCACACAGAGAACAAGGGTCCTTCTCTTTAGCAGGCTGTGGCTGCTTTCTGTAAAAAAAAACCCACTAAGCTCATCTTTTGTTTTGAGGCATCTGGAATGCATTTAGCTGAAACTGCAAGCTGCAAAGTACACCCATCATGCGAGATGATTTGCCATTGCTGTTTTCACCTTCTCAAAATGCAGGTAGCCTCGCTATTAACCTTACTTGTAATAAATTCCGAAACCTACACACCTGGGAAGGAATGATTCAGTCTACTTGATGTGATCTCCGAAAGGGAATCGAGCGATCCAGAGAGCCTATGGAACAAAAATGTTAACTTTTCATCAATACAGAACGTTACAGCTATAAACACGGACAACACTGGTATTACAATATGCACAAACATTACCAGCATTCAGACTTTTAAGTAAAAGCATTTCTATTGTTTCTTTAAAAATAGGAAAGTACCCCACTAGCTGCAAGAGAAGACCTTTCATATTGGTGCGGCATGGAATGGTGAGATGTGTACTGGGTGCACACTCTTTTCAAAGACTGTAAAAATCCTAGCTGGACACAGGATAAAATGGAAAAGTGGTTTGCCTTTTATTCACATTAACCCCTACTTGCAACAAGTTTTACAATTGCATATCCTTTGGGAAACATACAAAAACAAAGTTCACCTTACTGCAATTCAAAAGATCACACAGTTGTCTTCGTTCCCTGTAATGTCCCATGCTGTACTCCTCCAGAACCCACCAGAGGCTCAGGCAATGTCCATAAGAGCGGGCGCTTAAGAGTATTCTCTCATGACCACTGCTCTTGCTTAAAGGTCCTCCATCACATCTCTGCTCCCAGGCAATGCTCCATGAAGAGAGGATTCTTTCCATCTTTCAGGATTCTGCTCTACTACACAATTGGAAACCGGCAGCAGCGATTTTCTGATAGAGGACCCAGAAGCAGGATAGCTCAAGGAACTGCTTTCATGGACACTGCCTGAGCAGGCGGGATTTCGTAGAGAAGCACATTGGGGATTACAAGGACTGAAGACAACTGTCTATATCTTGAAACTTTTATTTGATATATTTCCTTAAGGATATGTGATTATACTTACTGTCGAGGAAGCAAGCTTTTACTGGTACTTGTAGGGACTGCGTTTTAGGTGAGTGGTGGGGAGCATTACCGTGTCCTTCTAGGGCAGTGGTTCTCAACCTTTCTAGGGCTGGGACCCCTTGGTAACATTTGCCATGTTGTGGTGACCCCCAACCCTAAAATTTAGGGATGCACCAATACTAGTATCTGTGTGGGCTCTTGGGAGACTATGCTGGCTCTCAGATGGCTAGTGGGAGTCTGTGGTGCCCAAGAACTTACCTCCCCTCACTCCTGCTTGCTCCCCACTCTCTGATCCTCTCAGGTCGCTGATGCTGCAGCGCCATCTAGGAGAACTGACACTGCCATGCTAGAAGGAGGCTGAGGAGCCTCTTACCTAGAGCAGCACAAGGCACATGGGGACCCCCTCAACTGTGGGTTGCGACCCACTTTTGCGTCGCGACCCACAGGTTGAGAACCACTGTTCTAGGGAGAGGAAGTAAGGCTACTAAACAATCCCCCGGGAAAAAGTGTTTATCTGTGTATTGAAAATTGTATGCAAGAATAAAACTAACCACAAACTGAATGCAAACTGACCTTGACTGTCAAAAGCTTGTGTACATTATGTTACTAATGGAGGAACAACTGTGCAATGTAAATTGAGAAAGGAGTGCATCTAAAACAGGAGTGGGCAACTCCTGCCCTCCAACTGTGCATTACATACAAATCCCAACAAGCCTCCGACTCTGGGAGTCATGCCTGCAACTGTCATTCTTGCAATGCCTTATGGGACTTTTAGTCCCATGCACACTGGTGTTATTCATCCCAACGCGCAGCAGATGCTGGAACTGTACACTGAGCTGCACATGCAGAAAGAAAAGTTGATTGCAGAAGAGTAACGCATGTCTCTTCTGCAATATCAAAACTTCCTGCTCACAAATTTTTAAGTTCCACCTTAAAACATGACTCCTGAATTCTGATTGGCTGATCTTTCTCCTGCATCAGTCATGGTTAACTAGGGTAACGCGTTTGCTATGATTTTGAATAGAAGAGCATTAACAGACTAGAAAGATGAACAGAAATGAGAATACGTTTGGTGCTGTATTCTCTCTCATCGCTTACAGACAGAGGCATCTTTTTCACTCACCTTTGAACTCGTGATGGAGGGGCAAACACCCCATGCTTGAGGGGACAAGTAAAATACTGAACTCCGGAGATTGACCCATCATTCTTGCCGTGTGGTTTATCCAATTCAATCCCACACCAAAACCCTTCCAAGGGAAAAAACAAAACAAAAAACTCAGTGCATTACAAATAATAGTAATAACATTGGTATTTTACAGGGAACCATTCTCCATTCTCCTGTTATCATTATACATTTATATAACTCTGACATATTCCACAGTGACACTGAGCCATTTAGATCAGTCCCTGTACCAGAGGAGCTTACGCTCTAATTTTCCCACCAATGGACCTAATAGGAAGCACCTACACTGTATACATGGGCACATCCAAACATGGTCAATGGAAATAGATAGGACATACACTATATAACCAAACATTTGTGGAAACCTGACCAACAATCTTACATACATGGCCAAACGTATGTAGACATGTCTCCAGGTGTTTCCAGTGACGGGTACTTTAATGCTACAGCATACAAAGATATTTTGGACAACTGTTCACTTCCAGCCTTCTGACAACAGTTTGGTGAAGGTCCTTTTCTGTTTCAGCATGACTGTGCCCCTGCATACAAAGCCATCCCCATAAAGACATGGTATGAGGAGTTTGGTGTGGAGGAACTTGAGTGCCATGCACAGAGCTCAACCCTTCTGATCACCTTTGCCATGAACTGGAACACTGATAGCAAGCCAGATCTCATCACCCAGCACAAGTACCTGACATCCTAAATGCTCTTTAGGGTAAAATGGCATTAGAAACATATAACATAACAAATATAGCTGATGCTAGGACAGCTATAAAGGGAGAAATTCCCACTGGCACACACAATCTTGTGGACAGTCTTCACAGAAGAGTGAGGACTGTTATAGCCACAAAGGGTGGGGTGGGGAGATAGCTCTGTATCTGGAATGGGATGTTCAACAGCTTATGCAGTAGAAATGGTCAAGGGTAGAAAAGTTCTTTAAAAACGTAGATTTTGGTTTTCAAAGGCAACGTTATGGCACTCCCCTACTTGATGAACCGCATGGCTACAAGTATGAATGTTTAAGTAGCAGCCTTTTATAAGACGCTTCAATGTTCAAGATGTTTTCATTAACCTTAATTCCAATGCAAACCTGAGACAGGAACAGTGGTCACACATAGCTCAGTCTTGGCAACCCTTACGGCTAATGGGCTGAACAGGGCTTCCCCATGGAGCGATGAATACTTCGGACAGTTGGAAGCGATCATTATAATAAAGAAAGATTTGTTAAAGGCTCAGCACACATGGGCACTCATGCTTTCATTCACTATAGAGAAAAGGGAAAGCGGCATCCAGCCTAACTCCAGCCAGAAATAAAAACGTTCTGATTTTGGATAGAGTAGGGGGTAAGCGTTAACATTTGCCAGATTCTATTTCTGTATATGACCCTGTTGGGGAGATTTTCCCTCACTTCCTGTCCCAGTGGCACCTGAACAATACATAGGAGGTGCAAATCCTGAAATCGATCTGTTCCCTACTTCAAAAAATAGATTTTTGGCTATGCCCCCGAAGGAGAAGTCTCCCATGACTTCCTATCCTAGCAGGCAGTCAGCTTTGCTCACTGCAGAGCTATGAGTCTGACTCAGCAAGACGGGAGGGTATCAGACCTTTGCAGAGAGACCACTGCTTCCACACAGAGAGTAAGGGTCCTGATCTACAGCATATTGCCAGGCTTTCCAGGAAATCTCCCCAGCAAGCAGACAGACAGCAAAACTCTAACCCGTATCTGCTCTTTCCAAACCAAACCATAATGTTGATGGCGTGATGATGGAGGTGGGTCCCTCCCATCAAGTAACCAGATGCCCTGCTGTCAGTGCGTCTCAGTGAAACATCTGCCAAAACAGTTTTGTAGAAGGAGCGTATCGCAGTTCCTCCAGGGACCGAGATCATTTCAGGCAACACATGTAATCGGTACAAAAAGGATGTGATAAAACTAAAAGACTTTCACTTAATTAAATCAGACTTTAAAACGTTAAGCCCTGCAGAGGCCGGCTCCACATCCACGCTGCTAATAAGATTATAAGCTGTAACAGTGACCTCAGAAATACCGGTAATTAAATACCAACATATTAGGCATTTAAGATAAAATGTTACCCAACCTCAGCAGCTAAAGGTTCAGTCAAGGAATTAGCGGATCCTAAACAAATTATGAACAAAGTTATCTTTTTTTTTCTTTAATATACAGAGGTGAATGTTACATAAAGAATGTGACACATTTCCTAATACACTAGAACAAAGACAGAAATATATTACAGTTTGCCAGTCCTCAGATGTGGTGGCTACATTAGTTACACAGCCACATGCTGAAAGTAAAGCTAACTAAGTGGGCATATCTAAATCGTTTATAAGTAAGCATGCACAGTTATAGTACTTTAGGAATGGATAAATCTAATTATTGCATAAGCCCACATTATACTGGTTCTTCTTAGAATGTACAGCAGAAGCTGTTTGCCTTCAGACTGTCTCTCCCTAACTGAAAAACCACACAGCCCTATCTCAACAGAGCAGGCAGGGAGAAATGGGTAACAGCTCTGTGCTATCTACCAATGTGAGTACATTGTAGCTTGAGCTACTGAGCTCCGTAACCAATAAGATTTTTCTCAGCAAAGCCAATAAGGACATATTGATAAACATGTCAAATTAGTGGGGATGCACCGATACCGGTATCGATTACCAATATTGTTTTTCCGGTACTCGCCGATACCAAAAACCGAAAGTCCCATTAAGGAATGTGTAATGACTTGCCAACTGGGTTCCCGATAAGCAGGGAAGCCGTCCCCATACTTCTAGTCACTAGGTCATGAAGCCGGCTTTCTGGCCAATCAGGAAGCCAGGGCGCCGTATAATGACACCGCGCCTGGCTTCCCGATTGGCCGGGAAGCCGGGTCCATGCTCCCTCGTCATGAGGTGACTGGGCGCCACGTCATTAGTTGGTGCCCGGCTTTCCGATTGGCCGGGAAGCCGGCTCCATACTACTTCGACCAATCAGGAAGCCGGGCAGCATGTAATTACACGTTGCCCGGCTTCCTGATACCGGATGTATCCGGCTAGGCATCGGAGCATTTGGAAGAGTACAAGTATTCGCCCAAATACTCGGGATCGGCACCGATACTAGTATTGGTATCGGTGCATCCCTAGAAATTAGCTAGAGGCTCTACCTGCTGGATAAAAACAAGAGTACAAAATATTCATATACAAGATTTTATATTTATATATAAATATAGTATATATTTGATATATATGAGCAACTTGCCTTTTGTACCTTTTTAGGTAAAGGTAATATATATTTTTGCTGTAATCTTCCAGGTCTAGACTCGTATATATAAATCTATTTATTTATATTTTATTTTTTGATCCACACCAAAATGATCACAAAAATAATATATATTACCTTTACCTAAAAAGGTGCAAAAGGCAAATTGCTCGTAAGCCGACCCTGCCCCCAATACGTGAAGTACATGGGAAGTGACAGCAATATAAAACCCCCTCTCAGTGGCTATACAGTACGTCGAGCAGGTGATGGAGAGAATCAATATTTAATTCACTTATTCTTATTTCATTAAATTGATGACACAGATGGGTTTGTTAGATAGTGATGGCAAAACCTCTGCATAAGTAATTAATGAGTGTCCTTTTCTAGGTTTTAAATGATGCCCTCGGAATCAAAGGGGCCCGTCGCATTAAATTATGTATCATCCTGGGTTCAATTATTTTGCAAACGACACAAAATTGTTCCTGAATATCTGCTTGGATCACTTATGGCATTTAATTCAACCTATGCTAAAAGTTTAATCTAAAGCTGAACTCTAGCCAAACAGCAATTATACATACATGCAAAGTGTTTGACCTGCCTAAGTATTTGTAGTACCGTGCCGTCAGCCTTGTGACCCTGACACCATAGCCAGGATAATGACACCGCTATATTCCATGGCAGTTTTTTCAAATTACGGTGTTAGCTGCCATGTCGCGCTTCTGAAGATTTCGAGGCTAAGCCCTTCCCGCCAGACACCTCATTATCTAGTAATAGTGCCCAAGTGGTCAGTTGCGGCAGTAGCACAGCGTGCTCTTCCTGTCTTCGGATTGAGATCCTCTTGTCACATTACAATGTTCTGCCCCTTCCCTCAGTACTGTGTGAAATGGAGGACACTGTACAATCATTTTCTTGGAGTGCATTGATGAATGCAGGAAGTCATAAACATTTGGGTTATCCTTCTGCCTATAGGAAGATTGGACACAGCAAACAAACTGTAGTCCAGCTCAGGGGATAACCCTTCTAATACCAGCATGCCTCCGGTTTGTATCAAAGCAGTACCAAGAGCATGGAACACAGAGGGGTGGGAGCGGTATCCCTCAATGGACTCCAAGACGAGGATTAAATGGTCTTAAATCTTCAGGATGTCCAAAAGCAGTGCAACTGTGGGGTGGGCAATACAGCAAAACAACCACTAGCAAGCCCAAAGTAAATAAGACGTGGGGACTGCCTACAGCTCAAGAAGCAGCCTGAAAAGGACCTCACACCCAACTGGCATTAAAAGATTCAGAAATGTCCTCCTGGTAGAGAGTATGTGAACTGAAGACCCGTTGGCAACCTTGCAAATCTGGATAAATCAGAGGTCTGATGCCAAAAAGCACAAGAGGTACTCACTACCATAGTGTATTGAGCCTTAAGTGGAAAAAAGCAGACCGGATCCTTGGGGCCAAAAGTCAAAAAGTTGGTTTGTCTGAGCTAACTAGAGGTGGTGAAACGAGAAGCTGGGGGGCTGTTCCTAGGCCCATCCATGATGACAAAAACCGAACCTGAAGGAAGCAGTGGCTGAAAGATAGACTTGCACAGTCCAAACTACAAACAAACAATAGTGGGAAATTTCCTTTTGGTGAACTGGAGCTGGATAGAAGAACAATGTCCAAAGAGGACTCCAACAAGAGGAGACACTACAATACCAGCGGATGGAATAATTCCAGGCTAGAGTCATCGTCATTAGGGGTGATCTACAAGCAGTCACTGACCAGTTAGAAGAGAGCATGCTGGGGGCACCTACACAGCCAGACTACCCCCCTTCCTATTCCTGTGTCAAGAATTAGACATGTTGAAGGCCACAGTGTGGTAAGCAGAATACAGGCTCAAGGTCAGAAGTAAGGCCTCAAGTACTCACAAAACCTGAACAGAAAACCTGGACAGCTAGAAGCAGGTGACTGGGTTGCGTTTAGCTGGAAGCATCTTGGTTTACAGCTGCATTAACAGAGTGCACAGAGGATAGGAGGGATACACCAGACAGGGAGACCCAAGACTCTTCACAATGCATTCTGCATTTTCCAAACATTAAAATATAATCTTCCCAAATAAAACATACAAGCTCTCCCTTCCCTAGGGCCATCAATACACATAGCTGTACCAAACTCCCCCCACAGGTCCATACTTACCACCTCAGACAGCTGTGGGCTCTCATGCTGTCTGCAGCCCTGCCGGAAAAAGTCAAGATCCAAGCTAACCGTGCCTGCACACTAACGTCCCATAGGCCCAATGGGCTGTACCTTTACTGCAGGAGCAACATTCTATTCAAGTCTATGGAACATTAACGAGAAGATGGGGAAATGGGGCCAGCCTGGCACTAGATATCTAGTGGACTGTTGGGGGCAGAAGGGATGGGAGCTGGGGGGGGAAGAGGAGGCAATGGATTTATATACATTTTATTTTAAACTGGAGGTGGGCTTTAACCTTGCAGGATTCTCATTGTATACATTTTATGGCTTACCTGGAGCAAAGTCAGTTTTCCCATAAAACCGTACAGTGCCGCTTCTCTGACCAACCACAAGAACGCGGTCACCAGGCTGGAATTCCGGCTGCTCTGGGCTACCAGCGGATGGCACTGTGTTTTCAGCTCCTACAAGGGCACAGAGAAGATATGTCATTTATTATCCTGTGCAAAATGCGGTCACCTATGCCAACAAACCCATTTCAACTTTACTGGATTCAGATCAAGTAAGAAGGATTTGATGGGCTGGCACTGGACTCTGGTCAATAAAGCAGGTGTGCAAAAAGGAAAGAGGGTGAAAGAAATGCACCCCAGCTATGACATGAGCAAACCATTCTCAATAATCCAATGTGAATCAAATGGCGGTGCAAATAAAACTCCATTTTAATTACAGGAAACCTGCTGTGAGAGAAATATGTGAGCTGCCTGCTGTCTCTCGATTCAACACTTTCTGGGTCATTGATGTGGAACAAGCATGTGGCAAAAGGAACCTGAACACCTAATTTTCATACATCATGTGAGTGGGTTTTTGCTATTAAAGTTGGATGAGCATGATGTCAGGCAACTAACATTATCAGATAAGGAATCAGCAATAACAGCCTACATATACACTGATCAGCCATAACATTACAACCATTGAGAGGTGAAGTGAGTACCATTGATTATATGGTTACAATGGGCCCTGGAAGTGGGGGGGGTGGAGGGGGATATATTAAATCAGCAAGTAAACATTTTGTCCCTGAACATGATGTGTTGGAAGCAGAGAATATGGACAAGTGTAAGGAATTGAGAGACTCTGACAGGGGCCAAATTGTGATGTCTAGACGACTGGGTCAGAGCAACTCCATAACTGCAGCTCTTGTGGGATGTTCCCGGTCTGCAGTGGTCAGGACCTACCAAAAGTGGTCCAAGGAAAGAAAACTGGTGAACCCGGCGTCAGGGTCATGGGCGGCCAAGGCTTATTGATGCATGTGGGGAGCGAAGGCTGGCCCATGTACTCTGATCCAACAGAAAAGATACTGTAGCTCAAATTGGTAAAAAAAAGTGCTGGTTCAGACGGAAAGGTGTATGAACACACAGTGCATCAGTTTGGTGCGTATGGGGCTGCGTAGCCGTAGACCGGTCAGGGTGCCCATGCTGACCAGTGTTTACCAACAAAGTGCCTACAATGGGCACATGAAGAGACCTGAAATACACAGAGTAATGGAAGAAGGTGGCCTGGTCTGATGAATCACCTTTTCTTTTACATCATGTGGTTGGCCGGATGTATGTGTGTTGCTTACCTGTAGAAGAGATGGCACCAGGATGCACTATGAGAAGAAGGCGAGCCGGGGAGGCAGTGTGATGCGTTGGGCAATGTTCTGCTGGGAAACCTCGGGTCCTGCCATTCATGTGGATGTTACTTTGTCACGTACCACCTACAAACATGCTGCTGATCTAGTACACCCCTTCATGGAGATGGTATTCCCTGATTCCAGTGACCTCTTTCAGCAGGATAATGAACCCTTTTTGCAGTGTGGTAGGGAGCAAGAATGGTTTGAAGAACACTTCAATGAGTTCTAGGTGTTACATAGTTACATAGTATTTGAGGTTGAAGACATAAGCCCATCAAGTCCAACCTATTGTGTGTGTGTATAGGTCCCTGAGTCTTCTCATTCTTAAGAGTACCTGTACCCTTGTACATTTCGGTCTTTCAGGAAATCGTCCAAAAGCCTCTTGAATGATTCCAGACTATTTGCGGAAATCACTGCTTGTGGCAGCGAGTTCCAGACCCTAACCGCGCGAACTGAGTAGAACCCCCTTCGCCCCTTGTGTTTGAATTTTTTTTCTACCAGTTTTAGGTGGTGGCCTCTAGTCTTTGTTATGGAATTAATCTTAAAGAGTTTGTTGCTAATATTGCTATGACTATTGAACATTTTGTACATGAAAATCAAGTCCCCCCTTAATCTCCTTACTTTTTACCTTACTAAATTTAGTAGCCTTGTATCATAGTTCTGGTCCTCCATCCCCTTGATGAGTTTGGTTGCCCTCCGCTGGACTTTCTCCAGCTCAAGGACATCCTTTCTGTGTACCGGTGCCCAAAACTGCACCGCATACTCCAGGTGAGGCCGAACCAGTGATGTGTAAAGTGGCAAAATTATAGACCTATCCCTGCAAAACATTCCCTTCTTGATTTGACTTGGCCTCCAAATTCTCCATGTTGACTTGGCCTCCAAATTCTCCAGATCTCAATCCAATGGAGCATCTGTGGGATGTGCTGGAAAAACAAGTCCAATCCATGGAGGCCTCACCTCGCAACTTACAGGACTTAAAGGATTTATATTGTAAAGCGCTGCGCAAACTGTTGGCGCTATATAAATCCTGTATAATAATAATAATAATAATCTGCTACTGACAGCTTGGTGCCAGATACCACAGCATACCTTCAGAGCTCTAGTAGCTCTAGTAGTCCATGCCTCGATGGGTCAGGGCTGTTTTGGCAGCTAAAAGGGGATCTACTCAATACTAGGTGGGTGGTCATAATGTTATGGCTGATCGGTGTACAGGTCATGACAGATTTCCTTCGATCCTTCTATTAAAACCCAGAACCATAAGTGAGAAGATTAAATCCGGGTCAACATAAGTCCAAATTCAATGTTTTCTATGCCAAGGCACTGGAACAATTGACAGAGGTTTGCTTTTTGTGGTAATGTTATTAGTTATAGTCACACATTATATGAATGGAACCCAGGTAAGAATAATAAAAAACATTAACAAATATATTCATAAAACGATATATAAACAGATTGGTGAGATGAAGGTGCGAGTCTAGCAGAGCGGAGATTTGCAGCTACAGGTGACTGAAAGCGGTACTCCAGCCAAAACATTATTTGTACTAGATAAAGTGCGAAACGATCGGAATCTCTCAAATTTTGACTCCTGTGTCCCCCATAGAAGAGATTTTCCTCTACTTCCTGTTGTGCCAACAAGACAGTAAATCAAAGCAATTTTCCTAAATGGGACACATATGGCAAAGAAAAAAAAAACTGACAGGGATTTTAATGCTTTCCTACTCTATCCAAAACTTAATAAGTTTTGGGTTTGGACACAAAGATACCAATTCTTGGGTAAACTACACCCAGGTATGGTAGAAAAGGAAAAAAAAATTTTATTTATTTATACCAATAGGGTGGGAAAAGGCTGGAAGCTCTGCCAGATTGTCATCTGCATTAGAACTCTCTAACTGGGCATAATCCCCCTTATTTCCTGCCCCGCTGACAGCTGCCACCAGGGATGGAAGTGCGGGAAATCCCCCCCAATGGGGCCCCAGACAGCAGAACATACTCAGCAGACATTTTAACCTTTTCTTTTCCATTACATTATTTTGGCTGGAGCACTTCTTGAACAGACAGCCTTAGGTGTCAGTGCAGACAGTACAAGATCGGACGGGTACCGTTACCAGTCACTAATGATTCGGACTGGAAGCTGAGCAAAGCATTTGCGTTAGAGTTAATGGAGTTCGATGGTCGATGATGGAATGGAAGCGGCGGCTTAGTCTCCAGGAAGGATGAAGATGAAGAGGAAGAGGAGAAGCTGCTGGATCCCATATGAAATGCTGCAACAGGACAATGAAAGCCACAGACATGCACAGAAACACACAGTTATAAGCAGGCATTTTTTACCCATTTAGTCCTAAATCCTTAAAATGGACTAACATACAAGCATTTAGTTTACTGTCACAACTGATTATTTAAAGGGGAACTCCATTCAAAGCATAAACTGACCATTGCACTGGGGCTACCACCGCACTGCAAAGTTAAACTGCTCATTTTGTCTAGGGGGCTCAAATAAAGCTGTTTTACCTCTCTGATCCCTGCTCCCGTGGCAGTGAGAGCTCACCTCTCTCCCCTTCTACTCCTGATGTTATAGTTACATAGTTACATATAGTTACATAGTATTTGAGGTTGAATAAAGACATTAGTCCATCAAGTCCAACCTATTAGGATCTCATTCTAGGAGTACCCGTATCCTGTCCCTTAGTGTCCTTACATCTAATGCAAGTCAATAGACCGGCATTAGAAGTGATGTCAGCGGTCCTTAGCCCAAGGAAAAAGATGCTGTGGGGACTGGTCTAGCAGCTGGGTGGGATCGAGGATAATGTGAGCATATTTGCTTTATTTGAGTCCCCTAGACAAAAGGAGCACTCAACCCATGCTTTTTGTTTGCCCGGAGTTCTCATTTAAGAACACTGCTCGGCACTATCTGTTACTAAATCACCACAAAATAACAATGCACATTAAAGTGACCTGGTGGTCACTTTAAAATTGCTAAATAAGTGTCTGCTAGCCAAAGCAGGTCTTTGTATGGGGCCTACATGCATGTCTAAAATCCTGCAGAGTGCTTGGGTGGGGGGGGGGGGGGCGCCAAAAACCCGGCTCTTAT